TTTCAGTACTTAAAACCTTGATGGTTTGATCGTTTTTTGCACCTGTTTATTCGTTTTACTGCGGCGTCTTTGAAAATACTCGGGTGGCATGACATAACATTCCTATTATTTGATAAGCTTTAGATTATTCAGTTATTAAATGTTTGAAATTATTTGTTTTTGCGGAAAACACTATTTAAAGAATATGGGGCCCTTAAAGCATAAAATTAAAAAATCAAATCATTTTAATTTATTTAATTACCTTAATTTTTTTAAATGGTATACATATCTATTGTCTGAAGCTATTTATTTGTGGTATAATTTTAGTTCTTTGTTTGCTTCATTGGGTATTTTGCCACCTGCGGAAAAAAATAATTAAATGAACCCTTGCACCAAGAGGATCAGTGTGAGATTTTTGGTTAGGCAAATCTAGTTCCAAATAAACAACCCTTGACTGATACTCTTGGCGCAAGGGTTCATTTAATTTTTTTCAACAGGTAGCAAAATACCCAATCCAGCAAATAAAAAAGTACAATCTATTATGTGAAATAATATAATTATTGTTGACTTAAGAGCAATATTTTCAATATTAATATTTGAAATTACCTTTAGCTGACAACAAGATAGGAATGAGAAAGGCAATATAATGAGTAATATCACTGAATATTGTTTATAACAGTACTTTCTTACTATTTCAAATGAAATCTTTATGATCATCACAATGATTTTAAGAAATACATAATATCAATTGAAATATAATTAAATTGTATGCAATATTATGCAGAATTGGACACTAACTGCTAATTTAATCTATGTGAACGCCACAGACGCTGGCCGGCTGGCATACCGGATGACGTAACACTCCCTCTTGCCCGCGCAGTTCTCCTCAAAGTTGTGAGGTAACCTAGGATATACTAGCCTTGGGTTAAACTGACGAACGATCCTAGCTGTTGCACTAGGTGTTGCGAGTATAATTCAATGTCGGTAGGGGCATATAGCCCTCGGAGTAGTTGTTTCTTGCAAAACTAACAATTAAAACATTGTGTTACGCCCTCTGTGGGTGGCAGTCGTGCGACAAAGTACCTGCAGTATAACAGGTTGCTTCCTACTGTAGCCATTTGAATGGCGCAGTTGGGAGTCAGCACGACAGATGGAGCCATTTGCGCTCTCGCGTACAATGTATTTCCTTGTCGTGACGATACGACGAAGAACAGTTGGGTCGTTTGTCGGTTGTCGCACCTATGACACGCTGATGAGGACTAATAAGTCCGAAACTGGTTTGTGCCTGGTGGGTTAAACTGTCAAACGATTCTAGCTGTTGCACTAGGGTTGCGAGTATAATTCAATGCCGGTAGGGGCATATAGCTCTCGGAGTAGTTGTTTCTAACAATTCAANGGTTAAGAGGAAAGAAAGGGATTCTTTCCAGGTAGCCTTAATAAAGGCAGGTAGATCTTGCTCGATGCAATGCACTTCACTTCACAATAAACACGTCCGCTCAGCTCGACCGCTCGCACGTCGACGACGTGAGTAACTAGCAAAAGCATCTCTCGTTCTCCCGTTGCCAGGCGCGACTGCGATCGCAGTCTCGGTCAAATGTTCATGCAGATTCGTATACATTTAGAGAGCGGAGTACTGAAATAAGCTAGCAAATGTATATACCACTGCGTTTTAAAAATTAATAATTTCAAATTAGTAATTAATATTTACGAGCGGGTTGCATTGCTTTATATTTGCGCTGAATCTAATAGTTGTTGCGCGTTTTTTCATTTACTTCTAAAGTCAAAAAAATCTAATGATCTAAACTAAGGCAAGACATTGTGATGGTGAAAAAGGATGGCTATTATTATTTATTTTAATTAATAACTACGTGATATGTAAAATTTAAATAAAATTTGACATGAGAACATTTTAAATAACTATGTTCTTTTATAAAATTAAAATATACCGAATGCTATATTATCAATTATCGATAAATACTGTGTTTAATTTTGAAACAATTCTAAATTTTCATAGAGGATAGATCATAGAAAATATAGTACTAATGTATAATAGGTTTTTCGTAAATATTCATCCAATCAGACAAAACGTTTTAAAGTACCTCTCCTGCCTTTGTTTATATGCATAATATTAAGAATTTAAAGTAGAATAAACTGTTTTGCCGCTGGAATTTCTTACAAAATATGTTCTTTAAATTTTTTTCCTAGGAATGGCTGACAATAATAGACTGTTTTTTCGATTTTCTAACTTTAAAACCCCTTATCCTAGGAATTATAGATGCGCTTTTATATTCCGTGCGCCTGCCTTCTCATATCCGCATCGCAATCGTATGTATGTATTGAAAAAATTGTTTGTTTTAGTTTGCGAACTATTTCGGTTCGATCCGAAGCAGACGTAATGAATGAACGAAATGAATGCGCTGTGCGCTGCTTTATGCTTTAACAGACCGAAACATAAGATCGGTCAAAATGTGGTCAAAATCGACACAAATAGTTCGCGCGAACTACTTTGTTTTAGAATAGGGAACTATGAAGAAGCGTTCGTTTTAACTCGTTCGTTCGCGAACTACTCATCACTAGTTTGCAGTTCATGTTGGAACAGCTGCAATGCACAGAAATTTGGCTTTGGCTCTATCCATAGTACACTGTCACATCTATGGTGAGGTGATATCTATGTAAATATGTAAATTACATATAAATTAATACGAATAAATATCAAATTATCAAAGAAAAATATCTGGTTGTAAAATATTCATAAAATATAAAAAGTTTAATTCTTATCTAAACAGAATGTAATCGAGTAGTGTGTATTCTTAGCAAGTTTTTTCCCTTTAAATGAAAAATATAATTGTTGCTATATCTCATTTGTTATTGTTCTTTAGGTAAGGAAACAATATAATATTTCCTTTTATCTTCGTGATTTACAATACTTATATATTTTTATTATATTTCTAAAAATATTTGCAAATAATGTTTTAGGCAATGGTTGTTGTAAGTGCTAGTTGGATGAAAAATGTCGCAACTTACCCACCCCCTATTATTAACACTGATATAGTACTACCTAATGAGAAAAGAATGGCAAAAGCAATTTTAATTTGTCGTCCTAATTCTCATCATTTTCAAGAACGTACACTAACTCTTGATCAGCCTGTTAAAGTAGGCCGATCTGTAGCTAGAGCAAAACCCACTTCAACAAATGCCATTTTTGATTGCAAGGTGCTTTCGCGTCATCATGCTTTGCTATGGTACGAAGATGGAAAATTTTATTTGCAGGTAACTGGTCATGAAGGTTTATTTTTATAAATATACTTTGGAATATAACATTCTAGGACACAAAAAGTAGTAATGGAACATTTGTAAATAATAATAAGTTGCCAGCTGAAACTGAAAATCACGAACTGAGTTCAGGAGACATAGTACAGTTTGGAGTGGATGTTGTAGAAAATAATAGAAAAGTAACTCATGGGTGTATTATTGCAACAATTAAACTTTATTTACCTGACGGAAAAGAAGCCAAAGCGAGTCCTAGTATTACAGATAGTGGTCGTCATGGTAAGAAAATTATATCCTAATATTCTGCTTATACATCTACTTTTTTAAATGGTTCATTGATTGTGACTAAATGGGGTAAGGTTAAATAATTTATTTAATAAATAGATGTGTCACTGGTGGTGCCATTTTGCTTTACATAATTAGATTTCTGTTGTTTACTGTCATTAGTGTATTGTGTAGTGTTATTCATTACAAGACTAGCATATATGAGTGTTTAAAAAATCTTCTATACCAGGTGCTGTAAAAAGTTAAATGTAATAATTGTGAAATGAGCAAAATTAGTGGTATTTCCTTATTGGTGGTAACGCCAAAAATTTGTTAATATGGACGTTTTTTCTTCAGCAAAAACTACTGTATTTAGTAAGCTTTTCAACGATATATCAACTTTTGAGTTTACAATTTTTTTTGGCAACTATCACACAAACTGTATAGTACTTTATTTTTACTTAAAGTCTGTTCGTATTACTCCCATGCAGTTTTTGTGGGAATTTCTTCAAAAAGCTGTTTTTTTAACTCTCCCTCTTCTATAATCCGAAATATTGTTACAAACGTGTTTTTGTTTAGAATGCGTCTTTCATGATAGATAAATGCCAAGGCGGCTGTGAAAAGCAATATTGACACAACTGTCAAAGTCATAAAATTACTTTAGTGTTCTTATTGATTACTTAAGTATCTAAATTGAAGATGCCACGTTTTTTCACAAATAACGAGTATCGAGATATTTTATTTGTGTATGGTGTTTGCAATGGAAATTCTAGAACAACAGTTGCAGAATATTCTCGCCGCTGTCCTGAAAGACGCATTCCAAACAGAAAAACTTTTGTAACTACATTTCGGGTTTTGGGAGAAACAGGGAGTGTTCCAGGACCTCATCGTCTAAATGCCGATCGAGTAAATCGTCATCAAGACCAAATTATAAGAGCGCTTTTTGAAGAAACTCCCACATTAAGTACGCGCAGGGCAGCAATACAACTTGGGAGAATTTCGCATACTTCAGTTCACAGAAGTCTCAGAAGGAACAACCTTCACCCTTATCATTTGACCCCTATTAAAAGTTTACTGGATCGTGATAGGGCAGAACGTGTTCAGTTTTGTCAGTGGTATATCCAAGAAACTAATAGAGATCCCCAATTTTACAAGCATATAATTTGGACTGACGAGTCAACATTTACCAGAGAAGGCATATATAATTGTCATAATGACCATATGTGGGCACCTGTGAATCCTCATGCTGTCAGGCCCTCCAATAATCAATACAGATTCAAAGTTAACGTATGGATGGGTATAATTGGAAATTACGTTCTTAGACCAATTATACTTTTAATATACATTAAATGCAGAGGCATTCCTTGATCTTCTTCATTACGAACTGCATAATATATTAGAAGAGGTTTTTTTTCGGAATAATTCCTGGCTTCAAATGGATGGTTGCCCTGCACATAACAGCAGGGAGATTCGGCCATGGCTAAACAAGCATTATGAAGATAGATGGATAGGACGCTGGTACAGTTAGGTGGCCTCCTCGAAGTCCTGATCTAACTCCGTTAGACTTCTTTTGGTGGGGTAGATTAAAATCTTTGGTATATGAAGTACCAACTCGAGAACAGCTTGAACAAAGGATTTGTGCTTGTGGGGAGCTACTTTGACAGCAAAATGGAGAAGTGCGTCGCACAGTTGCTTCCGTGGAGAGAAGGTGCGCTTTATGTATCCGTCAAGGGGGAGGCTACATCGAAAATTATTAAGTCATTGTAAATATGCTACTGTTATAAATAATTTTTTCAACAATTTTGTTATTTTAATTTAAAGAAACAGTCTCAAAATAAAAATAAAGTTCTATAAAGTTTATGTATTTTCGATTTTTACAGTTTTATTACCTTTGCCCTTGATATTGTTGCCAAAAAAAAATATATCAAACTCAAAATTTGATATATCGTTGAAAAGCTTACTAAATACAGTAGTTTTTGCTGAAGAAAAAACACGTCCTCATTAACAAATTTTTGGTGTTACCACCAATAAGGTGATACCACTAAAATAAATAAAAAAGCAACTATCAACTTTCCAAAAAATCTTATAATACTTTTTTGTTGAAAATTACTTGTATAATAACCTCCTGACGTTTGGCCATCAGCATCCGTTACACCCTGTATATCTACAACATAATTCTTTTTTCTTTTAGTACTTATTGCAGCACTATAACTTAAAAATTTTAAACAGTTCAGTTAAAAAAAAAATTAATGACAGCATTCATTTGTAGCTGATCAAGATCACAAAGTATAATTACAATCTAATAGCCTGATTAGTTAATCATCCTGATTATTACCCCTGGCTAGGGTCCTGTAAACAAATAAATAAATACTGTAATTTTTGTGACTGAAAGGTTGCAAGAAGGTTATTAGAAGTTAGTTAATGTGATGTTGCCAAAATTAGTAGTTTTAAAATTTTTAGGTTTTAAAAATGTATGGTAACTGGAGGACACCCAATAATAATAATAATAATAATAATAATAATAATAATAATAATAATAATAATAATGATAATGATAATGATAATGATAATGATAATGATAATAATAA